GCACCTGTCTGTGAACCCACAGAATTACTTCCTCTACACTTGTATTATCTGACTCACCTCCAGTCTCTCTAAGTTCCAGGGAGAGCTTTACAATAATAAAACAGTCAGTCATCTGGATGAAATCACTTCCCCAATATACTTGAGATCTGCCATGGTAAAAGGGCAGCTTCAACTGTCCCTCTTATGTCCAGGCTTCCACAGGAAAAGTCTTCACGGAAAGCATGTGGGCTCTGCTGCAGACTCCATTCACTGTGGCTCCTCTGGGGCTTCCTACTTACACTGCTTAGCTGGAGCTTTTTCTTAGTATCAAGAAGCATTTCTTACTCCACTCCCAGTCCCCAGAAGGGTCATCTCAACTCTGCTTTCCATCATCAGGTGGGCCTAATCTGCACTACCATCCTAGAAGAGAGGTGACAGATCTGCTCCAACTCTGATAATAAATGAAGCTGGGACATGATCCTGAACCCACAGAGATGTAGTAAGAAGGGCCCTGAAATAATCAGACAAACTATATTATTTAAATCACTGCTTAGCCCATTAGCTCTAGCTTCTTATTGGCTAACTTTTACATATTAATTTAACCCATCTCCATTAATCTGTATATTGTCATGTGGCAGCGGCTTACTAGGTAAAGTTCCATTCAGCTCCAGCAGGGCTACATGGCTTCTCCCTGACTCCACCTCCTTTCTCCCAGAATTCTGCTTAGTTTTCCCTGCCTAGTTCTGTTCCCCTATAGCTCTGCTATAGGCCCAAAGCAGTTCCTTCATTAACCAATGATATTCACAGCATACAGAGGGGAATCCCTCCTCACAGAGAGAAGTGGGTACACCGGATCCCTGTATAGATACCTGGTATCTAAAGAGTTAGCATGCCTACCTCATGTACCTGTCCCTACAGACCAATACAGCACATGGTACTGTAAGGACAGGAGTCAAATGCAGGTGCTGGAGAGATGTCTCATAAGAGCATTTACTGCTCTAATAGATTTTCTTAAAAAGAAATTTCTCCTTACATGTGTTTTTCTTGGATTTAATTACATACCTAGTGCCTATGGAAGTCAGAAGAAGGGACTGGATCCCTTTAAACTGGAGTGATATAAAGTAGCAAGATTCCCTGTGGGTGCTGCGAACTGAATCCAGATCCTGTATGAGAGAAGTATGCTGCTATTGTCCACTGGATCATCTCTCCAGCTTCCATGTTGTTTTATATTATCTCTCTCACTTGTGGGGTTTTCCAGCTTGTTTTCAGTCAGCACTTTCAATGTGGCAGCTCACTGACTTTTAGCGTCCAAAGATTTTCTTCTATAAAATCTGTTGGTAGTCTTTATTATGGATCCTTGTATAATAAATTGTAATTTTTCTTTTCTGTTTCCAATATTATTCTTTGGTGATAATTTGATGTATAGACAAAATTCTTGTTAGTTTTGATTTTTGAAACAAAATCTCATAATGTAGCCAAGGCTTAAGATAGATTAAAATGTCAGGGGAGTGCTTGGAAAATTAAATAAGTGGGGCAGAAACAATATAAAAATAAAGAGATAGCCAACTTCACAAAGTCACCTTCTGTCCTCCATGTGAATGTTGAGATATGTATCCACCACCCCCTACCATATACCTATGCAATAATAATTTTTTTTATTTAAAAAACCGCACATTTATTTCGCTTTCTGATTCTGTGCTTGTGCCTTCAACACTTTCACAACAATTTTCTGCTCCTCAATAAGGAAAGCCCGCTTGATCCTGTCACGGACACACTTGGCACACATGGAGCCACCATAGGCCCGGCTGACATGCTTCTTTGTCTTCAACAATCTCATGAGGACTTTCGGTCTCACAGCACGAACCCCTCAGAGTCGGCCTGGGCACACACCGCACACTGATTTAGGTGCTTTTCCAACCTTCTTGGTGTAAAGGTAAACAATCCTGTTGCCAGGGGTTCGAGACAGCCTAGTTTTGTTGGAGGCTGTGTTGTAGGATGTCAAACGCTGGACCATTCTGAGTGCCTCTAAGCACCGTCCCCAGAAGAGGAAAAAGGCATAATAATTTTTTTAAAATAGGCAAATTACGTCTGGTTGTGAAAACTCCAGCTAAGGGCTGTGAATTCTAAAGCAATAAAGGTGGAGTACATAGTCTATAATCATCTTATATAGAGATTTCAATTGAGAATGTTAACACTGATGAACCACACTAACCAGATGACCTTAATTTGACTTTTCCCGGTTGTAAACCTAAAACTCAAAGAGATAGTAAGGTTTCTTTTTGACATTCAAAAGTTATGTCTTAACCCCTTGTGACCTGGTATATTAAGAACAGCTTGAACCCTTGTCATCTATGGACTCATCCAATGATCTCATTTAACAAATACAAAAAAGGATAAGTAGGGGTGAAACTTCACTGAACAATTCTCTTAAAAAGCCACCCAAATTAAATAAAAACACTTTACTTAGTGAGATAACCCGGACCCAAAAAGATGAATATGGTATGTACTCACTCTAAGTGGATTCTAGCCATAAATAAAGGACATTGAACCTGTAATTTGTGATCCTAGAGAAGCTAAATAAGGTGAACCCAAAGAAAAACATATATATATATATATATATATATATATATATATATATATATATATATATATTTATCCTCCTGGATATTGGAAGTAGACAAGATTGCCAGGCAAAAGTTGGGAGCATGGGTGTGGGGGGTGGGGGGAAGGGGAGATGGGGAGAGAGAAGGGAGAAAGGGAGGATTGGGCAGAGCTTGGGGGAATGGGATGGTTGGGATGGAGGAAAGGTGGATATGGGAGCAGGGAAGTAGATATCTTAATTATGGGAGCCATTTTAGGGTTGGCAAAAGACTTGACTCTAGAAGGGTTCCCAGGTGCCCAAGGAGATGTCCCCAGCTTGTTCCTTGGGCAGCAGAGAGGGTGCCTGAACTGGCCTTATCCCATAGCCACACTGATGAATATCTTGCATATCACCATAGAACCTTCATCAGATTATGGATGGAGATAGAGACAGAGACCCACATTGGAGCACTGGACTGAGCTCCCAAGGTCCAAATGAGGAGCAGAAGGAGGGAGAACATGAGCAAGAAAGTCAGGAATGCGAGGGGTGCATCCACCCACTGAGACAGTGGGACTGATCTAATGGGAGCTCACCAAGACCAGCTGGACTGGTACTGATGGAGCATGTGATCAAACCAGACTCTCTGAATGTGGCTGACAATGAGGGCTGATGAGAAGCCAAGGACAATGACACTGGGTTTTGATTCTACTGCATGGACTGGCTTTGTAGGAGCCTAGTCTGTTTGGATGCTCACTTTCCTAGACCTGGATGGAATGGGGAGGACCTTAGACTTCCTACAGGGCAGGAAACCCTGACTGCTCTTAGGACTGGAGAGGGAGAGGGAGGAGGAGTGGGGTAAGTGAGAGGAAAATGGGAGGAGGTGGAAATTTTTAATAAAGAAAAAAAAGCCACCCAAATCATAAACATGGCTATTATTAAGACACTTGACTTACTTTATACCTAGTTGTCCTGAGAATCTTTTGTGGCGTGGTCCAGAATCCCAGCATCAATGACAAAAATTCACTGAAAGAACTGGGGCTGAGACAGGCAGCAGCACACAACCTATCTTCTCTTCCAACTCCTGCTGCCACTGACAGGATAGCCTGGACCTCCCAATACTCCTGCTTCGGCCTCTCAAGTGGTAACACTGCATGTCTGTCACCCTTGGGTAGCATTTTAAATTACTGCTAGATATTGCCTCATTGTCCCGAGAAACTGTTGTACCAACTTCTATTCTCACCAGCCTTGTGAGAATGTCTTAACCCTTACCAACAGTAAAAATGATCACTCTCCCCCACACCTCTGTCATTCAGTACCAAGGACTGAGCCCAGAACTTGCCATATGCTAGGCAAGTGATCTAATATCCAAATACATCTCATTCAAAGACTATGTGGCTCTCCTTTGTAACAGAGTTAGTAAAAGGAGATAATCTACAAAGTTCTAAAGGCTTGAAAATAACCGCAGATCAAAGATTTCGAAATCAGCTTTTGTGAATTATTCACCCACACCACTATTTAAGGACTTTGAAAACATTAGATGTGTTATGTTCATAGGAGGATACTGTTATTTTAGATTTCCTTACTATCTGCATTCTTTATCATGTATATGACTGTCCAGTTGCATGGAGGGACCAGAGCTTCCATCATAGAAAAATATGTCCACTATATAGAATAATCTCACTAGTAATTCTAGCAAATAAGTAACTTTTCTAAATTTATTGAGATTTTAATAGGTTTTTGAATGTGGTTCAAACACAGACTTTTGTAAGTGCTAGGCATAGGCTCTATTGTGGTCCTTTCTCCCTAGCTGGAAATAGAAAATATTTTTGGTTACTTTTAAATTCCTATCAACGTCATTCAGAAAATCCAAATAACAGATATTTGTTTAGTTATTAATCATACAAGCTGTATCATGTCAGTCCTGAATTTAAATGTGCTTTTCAATGATTTTATGGATATTTTTATAATTGTTCTAGAGAGAAAAAATAAAAATTATCTTAAAAATTAAATGGCTGGAGATATAGCTCAGTTGACTGAGTTACTTGTCTGTACTCATGAGGTTCAGAGTTCAATCCCCAGCACTGCATAGAATGAATATAGTTCACATGCCTATCATCCTAATACTTCTGAATCAGTGGCAAGAAGAATAGGAGGTTCAAGATTATCCTTGGCTATAAACCAAGTTTCTAGTTCTAATGGTAGTAAGGAAATATCAACTACCCACTATATAAATACAAAGGATGAAGGAATAGAACCTGAAGCCAAGTGAGTGAATATCCTCATGTGTATTTATTTCCCAAGGACCCGAGGCCCCTGTGCATTAAGGTCTTTATCTGCTGACCTGCAGATGACCTGTTTCACCCTGGTCCTCCACCACTGAAGAGTTAGCTTCCTATCACACAACAAAGACCTTCAGCACACAACATTCAGAGCTACAGCTGGGTAAGTCCTGCCCTTAGCCTCTCCAGCGATGTCCACACTGAGCATTGCAGCACTTGTAGAAGGTGGTCATTGGCTCATCTGCGGAACGGGTCTGAAGCTGCATGAAATAGGCACGGGGATGTTCACATTTTGGACATGGCTCTGACAAAGAGAAAAACAAGTCATCCACATTACACAAATACTGTTAAGTATGGGTAAATATCGCATCCCCGCATTCATCCAGACTACTTTGCCAATGGTAAATTTGCCAATAGCAACATCCTACCCACAGCACACCAATACTAGGGGGACTGGAGAGACTGTGACTTTGAAAGCACCTCCATAGTATCACTTTCTTTCTCAAATTTTATTGAAGACTGGCTGGAAGCATAGCATGGGAAGGGTCTTTTATAGTCTGTTTTGTGGGGCTATAACAAAAATACCTGCCCAGTGTGGTAGCACACAGCTATAAAACCAGCATTTAAGAGACTGAGACAAGAGGCTTGCTATAAGGCCAGCCTGGGCTACATAACAAGAGTCTATCTCAAAAATAAACAAATAGATTTAAAAAAAATTAAGCCCCTACTCATTTTCCATTTTCAAGGTTTTTTTTTTAAGATTTATTTATTTATTATGTGTACGGCATTCCTTCCATGTATGCCCGAAGGCCAGAAGGGGGCACCGGGTCTCATTATAGATGGCTGTGAGCCACAATGTGGTTGCTGGGAATTGAACTCAGGACCTCTGGAAGAGCAGTCAGTGTTCTTAACCACTGAGCCATTTCTCCAGTCCTCATTTTCAAGGTTTTTGTTGTTTGCTTTTATAAAACAAGTTCTTGGAGTTGGCCTCAAGGTCACTAGGTAGCCAAGATGACCTTTAGCTCCTGATTATTTCAGTCCCCACCTCCCAAGCTGTACTAGCACACCTAGCTAATTCTAACTTTTAACATAAAATTGTATATTTCCTTATAGAGAAAAAGACTGCTAATCACACATGTGCCTTCCTTCTCAAACAGATAATATTTAGGGCCCTATTCTTTCTTTCCATTATCACATTTAAGTCTATCAAACATAAATCTTTTAATTTTTAAAAATTATTTTATGTGTATGTTTTGTTAGTAAGTATTCTATGAACCATGGATGCCAGTAGAGGACACTGGATCAAGATGGAAACCACCGAGTCATCTCTCCAGCCCTACTTTTTCTGTTTGTTTTTCAAGACAGGATTTCTCTATATAGTTTGGAGCCTGTAGACCAGGCTGGCCTCAAACTCACAGAGATCTATTTGTCTCTGTCTCTTGAGTGCTGGCACCACCCAGCTTCCCCAAAACTATTTACTGATTGACAGATTGATTGAGATAGGGTTGAGAGTACTGACTTACATGCTTGAGCCACCATACTTCACTTCCAGCTATAAAACTTTTAAATCCATATAGAATAAAAAAGACCAGAGATGATCATTTTTTCAATAGTGGTATTTGAAAATACATACAACAGAGTTCTCCTAAGAAGCCTATACCTACGAGAGCATGGATGACTGCCCTCTATGTATCTCTCTGCCCCTCTCAACAACCATCAATATTTAAGTTGAAACCAACACTGAAACTTTTTTGTAATAAACTCTGAATTTGCTTCAAAAAGAGAATATATACCAGATTTTTATACTGGTCTAATCTGACCTGGAGAATCGAAATGAAACAATGGAGTGGGTATCAGTATGGTGATTTTCCTTTCAGAATATCTTTCCTTGAAAGAACCTACTTTAAATTTTTTAATACAGCCAGATGGTGGTACACACGCCTTTTAAACCTAGAACTTGAGCCGGGCGGTGGTGGCGCACACCTTTAATCCCAGCACATGGGAGGCAGAGGCAGGCAAATCTCTGTGAGTTCGAGACCAGCCTGGCTACAAGAGCTAGTTCCAGGACAGGCTCCAAAGCTACAGAGAAACCCTGTGTCGAAAAACCAAAAAAAAAAAAAAAAAAAACCACCTAGAATTTGGCAGGAAGGCAGGTGAATCATCTAAGTTCGAGGCCAGCATGGTCTACAGAGGAGGTCCAGGACACACAGGGCTACACAAAGAAATCCTGTCTCAAAAAAAAAATCCACAAAAAACAAAAATCAAACAAACAAAAAAGTTTTAATGCCTTGCTTAGAGTTTAAAGAACGACTACATTGTAACTAAAACATATCATCAAATACTTCCTGTAGTGGCAAACACAAGCTATTTGTAATTACTGATATTTGCCATTATTTATATTTCCTTAAATTCTTTCATACTTACTGGGGGAGAGTGGAAAACAACTTTTCATGAATCAGCTATCTGAGCTCCAAGGATCAAACTCAGGTTGACAGATTTGGCAACAAGAGCTTTTACCCGCTAAACCATGTCATTGGTCATAATAATATAAAGGGTTGTATTATAATAAATGCATTATTATTAAATATAATAAGTAATAATAAACAGGGTTGAGTCACTGGCTTTGTAATGGAAAACTTCCCACCTGCAGTGGAGTCCACGTTCTCCCAGGCAGCTGCTCCCCCAAGCACATCATCCACCTCTTTCAGCTTTGGATACTTTCGGTTTGTTACCTGACAAAAATAAACCAAAGATTTCAAGTAATCATACAGTTTAAAAGGTGGGACACCAAACTATAACCCCTCTCCAGCATTTCCTCTACATGGTAAATGGATACAAAATTTATCTTCTTCAGAGAGCACCAAAAGCCATTAAAATGTTGGGGTTTTATGACTGGGATGTTCCCAAAACAACCCAGAGGTCCAATGTCAGAGCCCTCTAGAGACTGGAGGAAACACCAGGCAGAGCAGGAAGAAGAGTTGAGTTAAACCCTACTCTTTTCTCATACCCCTAAAACACCTAATAATCCAATATGAAAGACACAAAATAAGCCTAGCAGTATCATTTATCTGGGTATCCCAGCATTCCCCGGGGACACATTTGGCTGCTTTCCTAAATTTAGCAGTCAATCTCTCAAACTTCGAAACTAAGTCACCATTCATCTTATCACAAATCCAGACTCTAAACTCCATATAGCTCTAGGAAAGTGCAAACATTAAGAATGAGGGTGGTGGTGGCGCACGCCTTTAATCCCAGCACTCGGGAGGCAGAGGCAGCCGGATCTCTGTGAGTTCAAGGCCAGCCTGGACGACGAGAGCTAGTTCCGGGACAGAGAAACCCTGTCTCGAAAAACCAAAAAAAAAAAAAAAGAAAAGAAAAAAAGAATGAGGTATCACCAAGGCCTGGTGATGCCGTCTGCAATCACAGAACTCCGGACACCAAGGTAAGGAGGAACAAGAGCCGAAAGGTAAACAAAACACCAAGGGCTGAAAACCAGCATAACAGGAATGAGGATAAACTGGGAGAACTGGATTGTGGTTTGTTTACTTAATTTTCATATATATATATATATATATATATATATATATATATATGCCATGCAGCCCAGGTGAACCTTGAACTTATTCTCCAGCCACAGCCTCCCCAAGTGATAGAATTATAGGCACGTACCAACAGCCAAAAAGGCTGGAATTTAAATAGGGTAGTCATTATTTTAAAAGATAAGGAGATAAAGGAAAAGGAAGAGAGAAACAGAGAGATATACACACACCCAAAAAAGAGAGAGGGGGGCGAGGAAGGGAGGGGGAGGGGGAGAGAGCAAAAAGAGCTACAAAAAGAACATAAAGATTTGAGATGAGAGGTGATAAGCGGACTGGAGTCTGGCACGCCAGGAACAGCGTGTGGGGACTGAAGGTTTTAAAAGCGTGGTTCAGCCTAGAGGTATGAACGGAAATTCTCGCAACTTTTTTGAGTGTCACAAAACGAGCAGCACAGAGCCGGAGGCAGAAATCTCTGTAGTAACCAAAAGAACGGCTTCGATTTGGTCGGAGCGACGCCACTGGATTAGCAACTGCTGGACTTGGGGAACCGCTGCTGCGAGAGACAAAAAACCTACCGCCCGCAGGAAGGTCTGAGCTCAGACAGCCGAGGAGGCGCTCGCCTCTGGTACTCACCTTGCGTGTGATATTATGCACGTAGGATTAAATGATTTATGAAATGTCACCTAGGTCTTCAATACCAAGTTAATCTGAATTTGGGAATATTAAATCATTTTTAATAAGCATGCTATCCTATGTACTAAATTGATTTTTTGACAATATACTTTTCTAAAAGGCACAGAGATGTACAAGGATTACGTATAAAACATGCTTATTAAGTATAACATAGAAACTAGTTTTATTTAATTTTATAAAATAATTATTAAATATTATATATTAGTCTTTGCACGTAGGGGCAAGTGTTGCAGGCGAAGCGATGGCAACGCTGTCCTTCCTCCACAATCAGTCCGTTTCCGCAGCTCGGACAGAAAAGCAGCATTGCTCCAGCTTCAACGTAAAGGTTCTCAATGTCTGGCGCGCTTCCGCCGCCGCAGACGCCCCTTGGAATCGGTCATTGGTACGTTCCCAGAAGGCACTGCGGCGGGCAGCCTCGCACACGCCATTGGTCAACGCAGATAATCCTTCCCTAGCTTTCCGTACAGGGCCTGCGCGTGCGCACGGGGCTCTCTGCCTGGAACACCAGCTGTTGACAGGAGAAGGCTGGCGGCGGGCGGCCCTGAAGTACCCTGGATCGGAGGGAGGTACCGGGTGATGAGAAGAAACTGCCACACGCCGAGCCGTGGAAGGGTTCCAGGAGGGTCTCTGAGCCGGGACTGACAGGCAGAGCCTACCCAAATGTATCAACTGCTGTCTGCCTAACGTATGGATCCGTTTAACCTTTTCTTCACCTGGTCTTAATTCTGTCATTTCACTTAGCTAGATTCAGCACTACAGACCAACTCTGACCTACAATACCAGCAGTTCCTCTCCACAGACCTCCAGCTGGTTCTTTTACTCGTTCCTATAGACTTCTTTACATTTCCCAGCTCTCGTTTCTCAGACCTCTTTGAAATAAATGCCTTTCCTCGTTAATCCTCTGCAGTCAACCTACACGGGGGGGGGGGGGGGGGGGGGGGGAGTGAGTCCTAGTTGCTTTGTTTTGTTGTTTTTTGTTAACTTTACACAAGTTAGTTATCTGGGAAGAGGAACCCCAACTGGCAAAATGTCTCTATCAGACTGACCTGTAGGTAAGTCTGTGGGCATTTTCTTGAACGTAAATTGATAGAAGAGGTCCTAGCGCATTGTGGGCAGTGTTACCACTAAACCAGTGTTCATGAGTGAAATAGGAAGGCAAGACGATAGGATGGTTTAGCCTTTAAGAGCACTTGTTCTGCCCTGCAGTAATGGCACGCGCTTTTAATCCCAACACTTGGGAGGCAGAGGCAGGTGGATCTCTTGAGGCCAGCCTGGTCTACAGAGTGAGTTCCAGGACAGCCAGGGATACACAGAGAAATCCTTTTGGGGGTTGTGGGGTGGAGAACTTGTTCTTGCAGAGGACAGAGATTCGATTCCCAGCACCCATAGGGTGGCGTCATAAATGTCCATAAAAACTTCAGTACCACAGGATCCAAAGCCCCTTCTGACCTCCATGCATGCCTATGGTACAAAAACATACACATAAACAAATTTCAAAACAAAATGGAAAAAAAAGGAAAGCAATATAAGCAAGCAAGTAAGCAGCATTTCTCCATGGTCACTGTTTCAGTTTCTGCACTGGCTTCAATAAACAATGAACTATCATCTGTAAGCCAAACAAACCCTTTCTTCTCCAAATTGCTTTTTGTTCATGGTGTTTTATTACAGTAATAGAAACCTAAACAAATATACATACTGTGTGGCTTTTAATGTGTGATTTAAGAATAAGTTCTTTAATATTTTTAAAAACTTTTTGTCAGCCACGATTACCAAGGAAAACAGGAATACTTCACAGTTGCTTTCACTGAAACTGTTATATCTTGTGAATTTACTGTTATTAAATAAACTCTGACATTGTAAAGACATAAATATGTTTGTCTATGATTCTGATATGGCACAATCATGGCAACTGTGAAAATCATCTTACTAGGTGTGTATGAAATGCACTGTCTTAAATATAGAAAGGTTAAATTTTACAACTAATTATTTTATTTTTTGATGATTTATTTTTATTTTGCCTGCATGTATGTTTATGTACCTTGTGCACACAGTGAATGCAGAGGCCGGACAAGGGCATCAGATATCCTGGAACTGGAGTTAGTCAGTTGTGAACTAGAAATGCAGGTGCTAGAAATGGTCCTCTAAATATAAGAGCAGACAGAGCTCTTATTTTATTATTTTTATTATTTATTATTTTAATAAAGATGAATCTAGATGTTAAAAATTGCATAGTTATAGTAGTGTCTCTGAGCCTACTCCTAACATTATTCCCCAATTGCCTTCCATTTGCATGTCAGAGCTGGGAAAGAATGATTCATCAGACATAGCTGTATATGTTCTCTCATCAGCCCAATGGTGAGCTCCAAGTCACATTCTCTAGGACACAAAAAAAAGTGTCGCTCAGATTCTTTGACAGGTTGGAAACTGACATGGGCATGATGGATTTTCATAAAGACAGAGTGAGGAGCTGTCATGAACCTGAAGTTCTACCATCTCACTTCCAACTTTAGTTATGAAGAACTGACCTAAAATACGGCTGGATGGTAGAGAGTTACATACAGTGATAGCCTGGGCAGCATCAGGTGAAATCTACCATGTAGACACTGGAGGCCAGTGCTCAGCATCTGCACAAGTATCCTCCTTGTACCCAAGTACTTACAGATGAGGGGGCTAAAGAGTGGAGCTTCCAGAGAAGGTCTCTACTGGTAACTGTTTCTTTGAGGGATTCTTGATGGGATGATGAATTTGTGGGTTCTGATCAAGTCTGCATGTGGAAAATATAGGCAATGATGTGATTTCATAGTGGGAGACCTGGCTTGCTCCCTGGAAGAGTCAAATACTAGATCTGTTCATTAACTTGACAGTAAGGACAGGGTCCAGAACAAAGCTCTAATGCCTGCTGGACTTCTCCCACTAGTGATATCATTTCCTGTTCTTTATGCTACTAGGAACTGAGAAGCAGCTCAGTCAGGTGGGAGACCCATCATTATCTCATGCAAGGATTCTTGGCCGACAGTAGAAGTGTGAAAACAGGGTTAAGAAGAAATCTCTTTGGATGAGTGGACAGATATCAGCCTGCTGAGATACTTTAAGAGAATCACCACATAAATAATAATATTTCCTCTGAATCAAGCAAAAATAACAAGTATCTATATAAAAAGTATCCATATTAATCATTAAATTTTTTAAATATTATGGAGTGGTCAGAGTGTCAACTTGATTTTTCCATCAGTCTGGATATTTTAAAGGTTCTTAATATTGTTTTTTGTTAATTAAATGAAAACAGGCTCTTTTACAGACTCTTAGAATTATGTACTGTTTTGAAGGTAATCTGATGGATGATGGATTTTGATGGCCAATTTGAATCTAGCTTTGGGATGGCATCTGATAAACTCACTTCTACATGTGCTGGATATGCCAACACTAGGGTGTTTGCAGGTGTGGAATAATTACACAATGTAAAAAAAAAAAGGAACTGACATTTGGAACGTGTACAAACTGCAAGCCCACTGAACAGAATGGGATTTTAGCAAGATGTAAATGTAACCAATTCCATACTCAACACAGAAGCAATGCTGAGAATAAAATGTCTTAACTACTTTTTTATTGATTCACTTGAGTTCCCCATGTGTTTCATCTCATTGAAAAAAAAAACAGTGTTTCTAAAGTTCTTAGATTTTCGACTTTAAGTTGCACATTGGCAAATCTATTTTTATGTATACCTTTGATTCTTACATTAAAACAGAAGTCACATGTTTAAAAATAACCACTCCTTAAAACAAAAGCAGTTATCAATGTTGTTTACAATACAAATCCTGAAGACATTTGATTACATTAAGATTTAGTAGTCTAAAAAAGAATGCGGTACATTATACTAAATTCTGGCAACAAAGTGTGTTTACTCACAAGAAAATTCCAATTCTTCCCTGGTTTTATAAAGACCAATCTATTTCTCACATGTTATAACTCTATTCAATTGAATTATGATTTAAAATGCAGAGTGATAACAACTAAAAGATATAAATACAAAAAGCTAAGAAAAGTTTATCATATAAAGGAAAATGTCTCATGCATTATAATTTTTTTAATCCAGCATAAAGGCAAATGTGGTTTTTCAAAATGCAGCCCACATTCAATCACAGGAAAAAATTCAGTCAAGCCACCTAATATACAGACTTTACAGATTTATTTAAATTTATGTTCAAAATTCCAGTAACAAAAGTCTACCTAACAATTAGAGTTAACATCAACTAAGATCTGCAAACCACAAACATTTGCAAGCCAAGTTAGAGCATGCAATTCTCTCTGAAAGAAAAGAAGCCTGACGTGGAGTTAAAAGGCAGGTAAAAACAACTATGAACTTTCTTTAAATAGCTTATATTTAAAGTAATGTAAGTGTACATTATATTTATAATATAGGACAATATATGTTTTAACAACTATACATGCAGACTATACTGTGTGGTAAAATGATTCAACTTAAAAAAGAAAAAGAAAAAAGATCCAAAATATCCATTTAAGCTGGAGAAATCACAAATCAAACCTCTCCCTGCAAGTCATCGAGGCTAACCTGAAAATAAATCATAAAATCTCAGTACTTAAATCCTAAATTAACACTCTAATTTGGGTTTATTGTTAACAATTTACACTATTCTTTGGGTTAAAAAAGATTTTTTTTAAGAGCCAGCTTTTGGAATCAGCAATGTAACTTCAAGTCCTGCCCTCTGACAGCCAGAAAGGTTGCTTTTTAAAAAAAATATTGATAGTTCTCAACACCAACACCCTGGAGATAATAAATTTCACAACTCACTGGGTTAAACTGCTCTAATGCAATGGAGCTAGTAAAATACATATATCTGTTCTTAAGAAAATTTACAAAACTAACAATTTTTTTCCAGAATTATAAAAGATAAAAATCTATGAATTGATACTCTAGTATGATCACAGAAAGATAGCAAACTAAAGTCAAGAAGTATGCAGGGAGGGGGCTGTCTGTAACACCCTGCAGTCTCTCTACTTGCTCTGAAAATTCCCATTTAAATACCTTAGAAACTTGTTCTGGTCTTTGCAATTCAGTGACTAGTTTATCACTCACACATTTTTTTTAAGTAAGAAAAACTTGTTTTCTTTTTAGACTATCCTGTAAGAGATTACTTGATGGTGGTTCCTATCAAGTAACAGAGGGCATGAGGGAGAGAGGGTCAACTACTTAGAAGCCTTTGGAAATTTCAGAAAGACGTCTGGCAGTTTTATATTTTATTCCTCTTCCTCCTGCATCTCATTTTTTTTCCTTTTAAAAATTTCAAGTTGATATTTCACATAAGATTTGATTAAAAT